AGGTGTAAACGTGGCAGAGTGTGATCAGGGTGTAAACGTGGCAGAGTATAATGGGGGTATAAACATGGCAGAATATGATTGGGGTATTAATGTGACAGAGTATGATCAGGGTGTAAACATGTCAGTATGATGAGAGTGTAAATGTGGCAGAGTATGATGAGAGTGTAAAAACATGCCACTGTATGATCAGGGTGTAAACGTGGCGGAGTATGATCATGGGGTAAACATGGTAGAGTGTGATCAGGATGTAGACATGGCAGATTATGATCAGGGTATAAATGTGGCACAGTATTATGGGGGTGTAAACATGGCAGAGTATGATGGGGTGTAAACACGGCAGAGTATGATTGGTGTATTAACGTGGCAGAGTATGATGGGGTGTAAACACGGCAGAGTGTGATTGGGGTATTAACGTGGCAGAGTATGATGGGGTGTAAACACGGCAGAGTATGATTGGGGTATTAACGTGGCAGAGTATGATGGGGCTGTAAACACGGCAGAATATGACTGGGGCGTTAACGTGGCAGAGTATGATCAGGACATAAATGTGAAACATGGCAGAGTATGATGGGGGTGTAAATGTGGCAGAGTATGATGGGGGATGTAAACGTGGTAGTGTATGATTAGTAGTATCTGGTTTTTAATAAACAGGGAGAGACAGTCTGAATGGAGGCAGGACATAACTGGGTGGTCTCAGGATCACTAGCCTCTTCCATTTAACTGTAAAAACAAGCAGGTAAGTATCGAGAGTAGATGCACCTCAAACCTTAGAGCCCTCTCTAGCAGGGCTTAACCTTCAGGCAGTGTCTTGCGTTCTGAGCACACCCCAGTTTACATCCAGCATCTGGGCACCCGTCATGACTCTCAGTGAGGAGCAGCCTTGTTCTCAAGTTTACGGTGACACGAACCTGCTTCTGTCTCCGATTTGCCAAGCAGTCGGTAACCAGTGGGGACAGTAATGCTGCCGGGGATGACACATTTATGTAGCCTGAGTGGTTTCAGCATGCGATGCGTCCTTTACCCATGTGCACACGGATTCGCAGCAGCGAGACATGCTGTGTGAGGTTTTCCAGGCCGTTCTAACTGCAGATGGCAGTGCTAGGAGCGTCAGTCTGTGTCAGCGTTCTAGACTTTTCCACAGTCCTGGTAAAAGAAAAGTCCGTGTGTGTTCTTTAGGTATGCACCCGAGATAATATTGACCAGCACAGCTGAAGTTCAAAGCCCACGGAACTACGTGGCAGCGGCCGTGTTTGCCTTCTCCCGCAAATGCCTGTCTCTTCTTTGTTCGCAGGTAAAGTCGGTAATAAACCTTCTGTTCGCTGCGTATACTGGAGATGTGTCTGCCCTCCGGAGGTATGCTCGCTGGGTGGATGCGCCGTGGCTTTAGGTGTTGGAAGGTCTTAAGGTCTCACTCATACTTGTAATACAAGTCACCAAATAAGATACAAAGTACCCCACTTCCACTTAGACCGGCCCCCCACTTCCGGTGTCTCGGACCTGCTTCTTGTCCTTCCATAGAAGCCCAGCTCTCTGGGGCTGGTGGTTCGCTGTAATGGATCTCTGGTGAGGCAGGACGCAGGTGATCGGTGTCGCATGTTACCAGGATTAGAAAGGCCGTGGGCCACTGAATACCGAGCGCGAGTTCCCTTTCGGAGCTAAGTTGATTTCCATGCTGTTTTAAAGCCTTAGCAGCACGGGTAACTCCAGGCAGTGTAGGCAAAGAAGGGGAGCCCTGCTGGAAACACCCAGCTTTACTGTGGGCGCTTTTGCCTCTTGGGGGCTGCTCCTGGGTTGGCATCATGATGGGATGAAGCTTAGTTCTGGGAGCGGCAGCTAGTGGGCATCTCACTTGAAAGTAGCTGAGGAGGAGCGGTCACATGGCATTCACCCACGTGTTCACCATTTGTGCGGGCTGAGCTGGGTACCATTAGTGGAGCTGGGAGAGCGTGGGATCTGAATGTGCGGCCTGGCCTGAACAGATGGAGTAACTGTTACCACCGGGTTAACCTGACCTCCTGTACTGAACGGCTGTTCCGGACTTTCAGGTTTGCCCTGTCGGCCATGGACATGGAGCAGCGGGACTACGACTCCAGAACGGCCCTCCACGTGGCTGCCGCCGAGGGTAATGCGCGGACCGCTTGCTGCTACGGTTTTTACAGACTTCAATTCTTCTCCAAACTAAAATCTCCTTTTGTGTGTTGGGGGCTGTAGGTCATGTGGAAGTGGTTAAGTTTTTGCTGGAAGCTTGCAAAGTGAACCCCTTCCCCAAGGACAGGTGAGTATCTGCATGGCCTTCTGGTGTGATTGATAACACAGTCTGAATACACGGGATTGCCATGTCGAGTGACAGTTCCGTGTGAATCTTTCACGTCTGTGCTGTCCTGCAAACCCTGGCTTGCTGTGTGACATCAAAGCCTGCCTTATTCGGAAATCTTAGGTTAGATATCAGTCAGCCCATATGGAGAAGACACGGCTTTGTACTTGAAAAGATAAAACGCGAATTCTGTTCTCACAGGACTAACGGCACAGGGTAGACAACACTGAAGTGTGGGAAAGTTTGTAAAAAGAATCATCTTGAGTGTGTTGGCACTGATTGGAATGCCTGGATTTGGTGCAGTTAGCTTTCGGGGACTTTGTGGGAGCTGAATTCTCAGTGGTCCACTGGAGAGAAGGACGTTTGATGCACTGAGTGAGGAAGGGTACTGTGCCTGCAGTGGGAAGAACCACCTAGAACACTGCTCCTCCGCGCTCCCCCGCCCCCGCCCCCGTGACCACTTCCCAGCCCGGGCTGTGCTGAACAGGCACTGCTGTGCCCACTCCCTGGGCATCCCCTCCTAGAGTGGACTGGGTGAGCCGTCCATGCACGGCGAGGACAGGCCGAGCCTGCGAAGAATGCAAGGGAGCAACCATACTTGGTGCTGTTGGACGAGTAAGTTTGGAATGGAGCCTGAGAGTTGCAGGAAGTTGGGAGCAAGTTGACTCCTTCCTGGGGAGCTGACCGGATTACTATGCCTTTGTTTGGGGGGCCTAAATCTTGGTTCAGCGTACAAAAAGTGAGAAGATGGTGTCAGTATCTGAAATTTGCTAGCACTTTTGTAAGGTGACGACATGTTGGCTGTCTCTCCCTTCCAGTGGTCATTAAAAAGAATGATTGAAATTAGTTGCATTGACAGCCCCCCCCATCTACCAGTATAGTGCCCATTATAGTGCCCTGCAGAGTATGAGATCGAAAAGTGTCTCGCTGTGCTTAGAACTCAAACGTGATGCATGTTGGGAATACTATGTGAATTCCTCCACTCCAAATTTGCCTCAAAGAATGTGGAAACACAAGTGTCTATCTTATAGACAAAGGTAGCTGACGAACTTGGTAGCTGTGTATTTAACTGTGCATCCAGAAGGGAAGCCTATTAGACCCGGGCGTATTTTCCCATCAGATGGAGTCACGTCACCTATTGGTCAAATAGCAGGAGTGAAATAGTGTTTTCCTTACCGGGAGACTTTTCATTACGTAATGGAAGAGATGTAAAGAAGATGACTGGGCAGATTCTCCCCCCCCCAAATTAACACAAATATTTGGTCATGGTAGAGCCAGTGACCTAATGAAAGCCATGTTTTTTGAGAAACGGAAGAGACCTGTAAAGTGTTACTTACCTGATTTTGAACATCAAGAACAGGCCACTAGAAACACTGGATGCTAACTTACGCACTTTTCGTTGTTTCTGTTTTATGTTGTGACCCATTAAGAAGGTGAAGGGTTGAGGGTAGATACAGAATGAAGGAAAGAAGCTAAAGCAGGGAGGTGGGGGAGGAACAGGAACCAGCAGATGGAGCTGTGAGGGTGGGCTTATGGGTTGTGAAGGAGCCAAGAGCCAAGGAGCATGCCCCGTGTTTGCTGGGCCTTGGGCTGACTCATCGCTATGGCGACTTTTTGCATGTCCTTGAATCTCTGGCTTCCTCTCACACTGGGGACAAGGAGTTCTGGTCAGGCAGTGGACCATTTAAGCCTGCAGCCTCCTACCCTTGCTGGCTGGGATAAAAGGGTCACTTCCTCTGGGCAGGTCTTGCTTATCTAACATGTATTCGATGTCATGAGGACGTTGTGACTTTTGAGTTCACAGGAACGTGAGTTTTCTGGGAAAGGCTGAGATGACGTGTGTTATTGCCTTAAACACCTGTACCACTAGACGTGGCTTCCATGCCCCTCCCTTAGCACGTGGGTATGGCAGCGGGGCCTTTCCACGGAACCCCTCTGCCCCGCTGTCGTCCTCCTGGGTACCAGGTGGCTCACTCAGACCAGCTGTTGTGCGTCCTTGCTGTACTCACTCGCGATGCTGCTAACGGAGCTGACCCTGAGTGGCCAGGGAACCTGGGATGGACCTAGAGCCCCGGGGGTGCTGGGCAGCCGTCTTTGCGCAGCGGCGCTGAGTGCTGACGCCCCTGTCTGTGTACTGCAGGTGGAATAACACCCCCATGGATGAAGCGCTGCACTTTGGACACCACGACGTCTTTAAAATCCTCCAGGAGTACCAAGTCCAGTACACACCTCAAGGGGATTCTGACAACGGGAAGGAAAATCAGACTGTCCACAAGAACCTCGATGGGCTGTTATAATGGTCCGAGAGGCCCAGACTTCGGTTACTTACCTATGTAATTGTGGCACATGGCTATGAAGAACGTGTATATTTCCTGTCTGGCAGTGATGTGCACTGTGCCTTTGTCATGTCAGTGTTACTGGAGTTTCCTTCCTTGTGCGCACAGGACAAATCTGATGTCTTTGGGAAAAATAGAAATAAAAGAACCTCCCTTCATAATGTGAGCAATAGTTACCTCTTGCGTTGCACAATTTGATGTCAAAGAATAGTTAGTTACCGATGCTAGCTGACGTGCGTGGTCCTCATGATTTGTGTGTGTTGTAAACTTTCAATCCCGGGTGATGATATACTCATAGAGCTAAGCTTTGTTGTACAGTTTATCCGGGGGGTTGATGCTGTCATTAGACAAACCAGTGTGGTTTTCAAGACTTTAGATATAGACTAGCTTGGGTGTTCGAACAACTATATGCACATGGTTGAGTATTTAAAATGTGTCCTCTCTCCCTCACGTCAGGGTGACTCCTTCAGCACTAAAATAGTTGCTAGCTGTTCATAGGACTCGCCAACTCTGATTAGGTTTTATCAGGGACTCTGTGACGATATGTTTGGTGACCAAAACATACGCGTGGCTACAGTTCTAGTACCTTTGAGACCTTTCCTTTCATACGGTCCTCGGGCCAGTCTCTCTGAGGCCCTGGGAAAGTGAGTGCCGGCAGGCTCTGCAGTCTCGTGTGTCCTCGGCAAGTCCCCAGTGCTCACATTCCTAGCCCAGAGACAGAGCCTGGCCGTTATCTATAGAAGAGGAACCGAGATTCAGGCGTCTAACTTAGCTGGCAGGCTTAAGAGGAAAGACAGCGCTACCGCAGACTTGGCGTTCTCTCGGCTTCTACAACAGAGAAAAGTTCAGACATGCTCTCCGTTACCAAAGTTACAGGGACAGGCTTAGGGACAGCCGCAGATGACCTTTCCCTTCGGTCCTACCGGCAGCAGTTCGCATTGGCTAGCCGTCCCTTCCGGAGGCCCAGGTGTCAGTCTGCTCGGGCCCCCCTCTGTTCCTAACTCACAGCGGACTCAACCTTTCAGTAAGGAAAGAGGACGTCCTTGCAAATTTAGGCTCCCCATGTCTTTGTTTTGGAAAAGTGATTTATGAGTAACTTAGAAAACAGGACAAAGGAACCTTAGAGAGAACCCAGTTGTCGAGAAATTGCACATAGTGGACCCTATTCTACTTCCAAGAGACGAGGGCTCTGTTAGTGAGGACTTCCGGTAATTAAGCGCATGTGTGCACGCGTGTGCACACACAAATGCACTTCTTGGAAACTGCTTGCGGAAGAAGCAGAATTCTCAACTACATAGATGCAGTGGTTACCAGGTTAGCACAGAGTCTCTGACCCTCGCTATCAATACAGATTGCACCCGAGTTTCCTGACGCCTGGCGCCACATTATCCAGTAACCTCCAGCTGCTGTGGCCCCATTTTCAGCCGTCCCCTGCCATTCGCTATCCAGCACCCTCCCTTGATGGAACTCTTAACTAGTTCCCCTTCCCTGAGCTAGGCACCATGGATCTAAGTTCCAGGAGCTGTGGGAGGATGCTGGGCAAGCATCCAGCCCTGCCACTGTATTCCGCTTCCACACGCCTCTCGAGACAGGTGGGCAGGCGGCATCACGCTCCGCTCCGCGCAGGGACATCAGCTCCAAAGCGAAGGCGTGACCGTGTTTTAATTGGAATCCACTGAGCTCACGCTATTCCAAAAGCACTGGCTTTGTGTGGTTCGGTGCCTGACTTAGCTATTACCAGTGACTCCGAGGCTTCTCTGAAATGTTACTCTGTATATTATTTGAAAGCAGAAGTTGTATCTTTTCTAAGATCAGTGCTGTTTTGTACAGTCTTTGTGGCCTGGTTAAATAGGCTCTTTTCCTTCACGGTGTTATGACTATGTGCCAGGTCTTGCTCCGGCTCTCTGCTAGTGGCTGATAATAAGGAGAACACTTTGTTTAAATGCTTGAATGAGCTGTTACTGCTGCCATCAGTAAACTCCAAAGATCTTATTTTTTTTTTTGTTTTGTTTTGTTTTGGCTTTACGATCTTGTGTAATTTTTCTGTATCATGGGAACATGACATGGTCATGTTGGTTTGAAGCTCTGTTTACGCTGCTGTTTCTGCTGTCCCTGTTGTAATGCCCATGCCTGGGGATACGCTGCGCTTTCGCCGCACAGCTGGATTTGGCTCTTGATCCTGCTGTCTGTCAGGGACTAGGTGACCTGATGTGGCATTTAGGTCCCTCCCGGAGAGTCCAAAGCTTTGAATGTATCTACTTCCGACGTTTCCCAAAAATGAAATCTTAAAACTATAAGCTGTAAGTATTCTGAAATTGGGAAATATTTATTTTAAATGAGATCAGGTAGTGTTGCTTTTTACAGCCTAATAAATACATGTATTGAAAACAAGCCGTGAGAAATGAATTTTCTTAAAATAACTAAGGTTTTTCTCTGCCCTTTTGAGTTGTGAGTCTGTAGCTGTCTTACATCCGGCCTGTTACGGGCCAGGGAGCACACAGAGTCCCATGGGATGTGTGGACCCAGGGCGAGGATGAGAACGGTGGGGACCTAGCTGTGGATGCTAGTGATGGACAGGTTCGTTCAGCTCGCACTGTGCCTGTGCGGTAGAGCGCTCAGGGTACCAGGCTGCACTGTGCCACCGCAGGTATCCTTGGAGCACGTTTCCATGGAGCTCTGACAGCTACTGGGGAGCTGACCCATGACTGCCACACCAGGATCCGAGTGGGCCCTGCTGGCGGCTCCCCTGAGTCCCTCACATGCGGAAATGGTTCTCCCTTCCAATGCCAGAATGCCCTGGTCGTCTTGGGATTAAATCAGTGTCTGGTTTCCTAACCACAAAGATTTATGAACACCACGCCAATCCCATTTATTTTTATCAAAGTTTTGTGCCATAAACCAAGCTGCTTGGTTACAGCAACTGTGGTGTTAGGGACATCTCTATTATTTTAATAATAATAATAGCCAGGTGGTGGTGGTGCACACCTTTAATCCCAGCACTTGGGAGGCAGAAGCAGGCGATCTCTGTGAGTTCGAGGCCAGCCTGGTCTATAAAAGACAGGATAGGCTCCAAAGCTACAGAGAAACCCTGTCTCGAAAAACCATAATAATAATAATAATAATAATAATAATAATAATAATAATAATAATAATAATCTATTAATAACACATGGAATTCTTTGATCTAACCCACGCTTTTATTGATGAAGCTGGGACCCAACAGTGGACCACGATATGGAACTCTTAGTCAATAGTCTTTCCCTGAACCCTACCACAGAGTTACAGGTAAACTACATATCTTCACTTACATTAGCTAACAGTTACTAAAGTCTCTCTCGGGTGAGTTTTGGGGCCACGCATGTCAGTACCAAGTCCTGCAACATCAGTCAGCTCCTACTGCGCATGCGTCTGTCTGCTGATGGAAGCTTGGTCGCAGTGCACGGCCCACAGATAACCCCAACAGGGAAACATTCTAGTTGTTAATCTAACCGTGATCATTCTATTTTCATGGCACTTTCTTAGGAGTTTAGGTTAATTTTATTTGTTAGTCCCTATGGTAACATAAGCTCATAAATCATGGGTATTCAAGGAAGCAGCCCATGGATGCACTAGGTGGCTCTTAAACACGTTTTACGAATGGGAAACCACCTGGGTATGAAAGGATGTGGATGAGTAGGCTAGGGGGTGTAGTGTTTGGAGACAGAAGGGTCTAGGCTTCGTCATAATTACGGCAGCTGTTTTAAAAGGAGGAGACAGAAGCTAACACAACAGGCTGGAAAGGCAGGCACTCCAGGATTGTTCAGAGGGCTCCTTTCTGTTCTGGAGCTTGACTTGACTGGGCCTTATAGGGCCAGCCACACCTCTTGACCTGACTGGGCCTTATGGGGCCAGCCCTACATCTTGACCTGACTGGGCCTCTGGGGCCAGCCACGCCTCTTGACCTGACTGGGCCTTATGGGGCCAGCCACGCCTCTTGACCTGACAGGGCCTCTGGGGCCAGCCACGCCTCTTGACCTGACTGGGCCTTATGGGGCCAGCCACGCCTCTTGACCTGACAGGGCCTCTGGGGCCAGCCACGCCTCTTGACCTGACTGGGCCTTATGGGGCCAGCCACGCCTCTTGACCTGACAGGGCCTCTGGGGCCAGCCACGCCTCTTGACCTGACTGGGCCTTATGGGGCCAGCCACGCCTCTTGACCTGACTGGGCCTTATGGGGCCAGCCCTGCCTCTTGACCTGACTGGGCCTCTGGGGCCAGCCATGCCTCCTGCTGCCTTTCACATTCTAGCAGCCGATCTGCTATGAAGCAGATATCCAAGTATCATTTATGCAGAAGACATAGGAGGGGCTGCAAACATGCCAACAGTAACGAATTGAGTGTGACAGCATTATAAAATACAGAGTCCACAAGTCTGATGGTAGATCTATGGCATCTCTACCTTTGGGTAGCTTTACTTGGTGTACTCAGTATAACTGTCGTAAGTTAGGATTATTTTTCTACAATACATCATGCTGGGTGATGTATTTAAAGTCAGAGTCCACAACCCAGGCTTGGTCTCCCTGAACCTGAGAGCCTCACCTCGCTGATGACCACTGAGCAGTCCAGACTTTAAACCACTACCGAGGCGCCTCGGCTTCCTGGAACTGGCTTAGATGTTATTTCTTGGAAACTATGTGCCTTTTCTTGTAACATAGACATGATCTGCGGCTTTTGACGAGTTAAAAAAAATTATATGTGAATAAATGTTTTGCCTTTGTGTATGTCTGCACATCATATGAGCCTGGTGCCCAGGAGGTCAGAAGAAAGTATCAGATCCCCTGGGACTGGGGTTATAGATGCCGTGTGGGTGCTGGGAACTGGACCTAGGTTCACTGCCAGAGCCACGAGGGCTCAGAACCACTGACCACTGGCTACATCTACTTCGCAAAATCTCCATTGGGCTACAGTGGGTAAAGTGACTATGGAGCATATAGCCCAGTATCTGAGAACATCTTACGTTTATGACGGGGGCATTTGCTTTGTCTCCTAGTGTCTTCCAAGGCAGATACTCAATATATTTGATGAATGAATGAATGAATCTTAAACAAAAGATGCCCTCAGGTAAATCATCCCCTCAAGATGGGGGCAGCTGCCAAGCTTCAACTTTCCAGCTTCGTCTGGCACCTTCCCTGCAGCTGCCGGGCACCATGGGGCTGCTCTGTTTGCTGACCAATGCCTTCACATTCCACATCAGTGTTCAGGCAGTCAGTAGATTCCATTTATGCAATGCCACCTCAGAAAGTGCCTAAGTAAAATCAGTCTATCCGAAGTGGGGCATATATGCTCTATTCTTAGAAAATGCCATCCTGGACATACTCAAACACAAACATCCTTAAGCCAGGACGTTTGGTGACTTCTTACGTCAGTCAGTGACTTAAGAATGGAAATAGTTTGCCTTCCACTGACTTAGACACCTCTCTTATGTCCCTGCCCCCTCTTCTTTCAAGAGTTATGATCTCATGTAGCCCAGGCTGACCTTGAATTTACCATGTAGCCAGGAATGACTTTAAACCTCTGATCCTTGTGCCTCTAGCTCACAAGCGGCCTCACCATGATGCCAACCCTAAACTGCCATAGTCACTGTGGCTACCAGGACAGTAAGCAAGGATAACACTTAGAAAAATAGTGTCATTAATCTTATTTTAAAATAGGCCTGATACATGAATGAGATACATATTAAACCAACTCACAATACTAGACATTTAAATATCTTTATATTAAATACTAATAGGAGGCTAGCATCATCTTAACATTTTTTTAAAGTCTTAATTCAACAGAATGAAACCGCAGCAACCGTTCTCAGCGGACAACGTAAGCAACAGTTAGATCTCAGCATTTAGAAACAGTACTTTTAAAAGGGTTTGTTTCTCATTCCATTTAAGGGTCTGTGAGAGCCCAGCCAGCCCCAAGTGGTACACGGAAAGAGAGGAGGCCTCTGCTTCCGTTTGGGACCACGGAAGGGGCTGTGCATATGCTAAGTGCAGCCCACAGCACACAGCACACAGCTGTGACCGGGACAATGGGACACAGTACAGCTGCCCAGAAGAACCTTGGCAACCAATGCAGTCCCTAGACCACCGAACTGCGCTGGTGCCACGGAGGAAGGTGGAAAAACAGCACACGCCATAAAACACTGTCCCTCCAAAGTCGTCTGATAACACAGGGCTGGCCACGGAACCGTTTGTGAACGCAATTGGCCGAAAAAGCCCATTATCAGTGAAAAAGAGTGTTCAGTACCGTTACATAGAATGTATTTTGAAATTATCTGATACTCGTATCTGGCTAATGACTCAAGTGAGTTACTAGTTTTCCTAATTTCGTGGCTAATGAAGACAACCAGCTAGAAATAATAAAGGCAGCCCATTTAAGAACATGAATTAAACTGCTGGGTGTTTATCTAGATCTGTAATTTCAACTTTAAAAAAAAAAAAGGTTTGCCTTAAGAAAGCTGGCTCCCTTAGTGGATGTGCAAAGATAGTTTTATTCAACCGATGACCCAAATGACAGCAAAACCCACTTAGCTTGGTGGAGTATGTATTAAACAGAAACTACTGGAGAATTTGGAAAACGCTCTTTCTTCTATGGGTGTTTAGTTTCTTTTAACCACAGCCAACAACAAAGCTAGCTCCCTGAAGAGCGCAATTGTGCCTGTAGTTTTATACGGCCGGTGCAGAAGATGTGGTAACACCCCTGCTTCCCCCCCACACACTCAGATGAAGGATGTCCACTATTGTCTGACATAGCACTGCATTATCAAGTTGGCTCTGTACTGTGCCATAGGCAAAAGAGCGGAAGGCTTCCAGCCATAAAGCAGAGGGAGCATGCCAGTATCTTCAGGACAGAACCGCTCCCACATCACCCCGCGGACTGTCCCGTGATGTGTAGCGGTTGGGCACTGACGACACAGCGTTTACCAGATGTCACTCTACTCCTCACCTGTCCCAGACACTGGCTGTCTAGTCCTGACGCCTTGGGTGGGGCTCTGCTCTGTCCGCAGAATCTACTTTACACAGGTGACTTTTCCGGTTCACCTTCAGTTAAGGCGCGTGAAGTCCTTCCGAGTAACAGGTTTCGAGTGAGAGGAATATCCACTTGCTAGCAACAGGGGGCAACAACTGTGTTGTTCTTGCTTGCACTTCCCTAGAAACACAGCAGGTGAAGGAACAGGAGCAGGAGGGAATCACAGATGGGAAGAAAAAATGTCTCCAGAGAAGAGAGAAATTCATGTTTATACTGCGCTCATCTGCAAAAAGACAAAATGCAGTTAGGGTCATTACATGGGTCCCATGACATGTATATTACACCTTTGCCCTCAGAGCAGGGGGATGCTCCCTACAACACATTACCACCATGGGACCAGAAGGACTGGCATGGCCTAGCCTCCCTGAATGACTCAGGGCCACTCACTCATGCCACCTAAGCTGATGGATTATTACTCTGGATTAACTCTGTGACTCAACCCAGAGAGACTATAGAAAGCTTTCTGCTGTTATGCAAGTCTCGGGGCAGCAGCATGGTAAATCAGCTCATTCAAAAGAGGGAGGAAATGCTGAGCCACATGCGCCAGAGGGAGAGGGATAAGGGGGAAATGATAATAGTCCCCTAAAGGCCGCTGGATAGGCAAAATCAACAAAGCCCGGGATTCAGATGTGGGCCAGAGGAGTAAAGCCACCACAGAGCGCTTCAGCTCCCCACCCTAGCCTGCCCTGCGCAGCCCTGGATACAGGAGATTGTGGTCAGCCAGCTGTCCATCGGAGAACACTGGCCTGCCACTGACTCTGGCTCCCTCGCTGGTATGGTTGCACATGTCTCCAGGATGGCTCTGTGCCCTGGCTGCTCTGCAGACGTGGCTCCCACTGCTATCTCAGGGTGTGCGCGTGCAGGTGATACCGGCATTGTCTATTCTAGGGCAGAGGCCAGGGTCCTGCTCGATGCCCTTCAGTGTGAAGGGCAGCCCCACAGTGAAGACCTCTGCAGCCTCAAACGCCAGGAGCGCTAGACCGCAAAGCCTCATTCTAGGAAAGCAATTTGAGACTGAAAAGCATGCCGAAGGGTTTGTCTTAGACGGCACTCTTGGTGGCACAGTTCTATAGTTAAAATGGTGTACAGGAGAGGGAGAGAGAGCCTGCATCCAAATCCTGCCACTATGTGAAGTTCTTCATACCCTATGTTGGCTAGTAGTGCCTAGCACACAGGTCTGGTCGAGGAAAGCATGTATAAAATGTCCAACGCCAGAGAAGAAACTAGCGGGCAGGGTTGGTAGGAAGTCTGGACAAAGGCCTCTGGGAAAGGAAGCTGATTCTACCCCAGCCCCAAGAGGCAAGTCCACTGTATGGGATGTTAGGCTACATAAATAAATACCCAAGTCCTAGCATACAAAACCAGTCCTCGGATGCTGGCCCTCGTAGACAATCACCTCAGGAGCCTGACCGCCAAGGCTGGCCCGGCTAGCCACCCTCACTACCTACCTCTCTAGTCCACGGCTGCCACCTCCTCACTTGGTGGACATAAGCCAGCTCAGCTGAGTTCACCTCAGAGCACACACCTAATTCTATCTGTTTTGTGACAATCTCTACGTGGCCCAACGTGGCCGCCAACATCAGCTCCTCCTGTCCTAGCCTCGTAACTGGTGGATTCTAGGTAGAGACACCTCACTCAGCCCTCATGCTCTGACTCCCGAGAGTTACCATGGGACAGAAGTCAGGGAAAGGGTCGAGGACGGAGCACAGTGTCGTGATGTTAAGCTGCTTTGACAGGCCAACCCCATTCTCACCTTGTCCAATCAGAGCAGGGCCTCTATAGAGATTCTCTGAGACCACTGGGGTTCACCTGGAGACTACTGTGGTAAGCAGATATTTTCTCACATACTAATTTATTATATCTATACATCCTATGTGTCTATTCCATAAGTCAGATGAATAAAATCGCTAGAACAGAACGGCTACCGGGGGCATCCGAAGGCTACAAACCCATTTCCTGGCATTTGTTTGGGGGTGTGAAACCCCCCAGTTCTCACTACTGCGGCGCACTGAAAGCCGTGCTCCTTGCACAGATGGAGGAACTAAGGGCTTAGTAGGTCACGGGGACCCACAGTGATGGCAGCCGGAACCGTATGCCAAATTCCAGGCACAGGCTTCCCACCCAGCTCTGCCTTGTCTTTGCCTTAACAGACGTCAAGAGCTTCAGAGCTTCTGCCTGGCACATAGCGGCAGTGGTGAGGTGGCAGGATCTCCCTGGGCAGCAGAGGAGGCGTGAAAACACACCCAAGTTTTAGACCCTTTGCTCAAGTTCTGAATCAAACTTTGCCCTTACTCCACTTTTGTAGGAGATTTGCCAAACACTCTTCACGGTAATATCAGGGTGCTGCTTTACACAGACCGGGGGCTCGCCTCCAAGAACACCGCATGGTTCTGTGATCACACTAGCTCCGCCAGTCTCAGCAGCCAGGAGGCTCTACGAAAGCATTTTTCTAAGCTTCCCAGGACATGTGAGGTCCCATGTGAGAAACAGGCAATGACTGAGGCGACACAAGCTTCCCCTGAGCACACGAACATCCGTGGCTGAAGCCTTCCTCTCTCTCCTGTCCCCTTCTCTGACTCTCCTTATGGGACACGTTTTTGCTAGGTACAGAGCCCGCGGTGATGGGGAAACGCCTGCTACGGCTAAGAGAATGATTTTTGAAAGCATTGGGCAGGCTTTGGAAAGTGAACTGGCCTAAATCTGTGTGGCAAGGGGCTTACAATTAAACAGCGTCAGCGAGATTGCCAGTCACCCAGACGGAGCACGTGGGACGATGGATCTCAGGCTGAAAGGCCAGGGGTCCTATTGGATCAGCTGAAAAACATTCTCCCCAAAGAAGACTGTTTTGCAAACACCGTGTTTCTATTTAGATCGTGGAGCCTATTAACCTCTGCTCCCTGAACCGTTCCCTGTGCCTGTCAAAGGCTGGCAGGATGAGTTAGCATCCTATGTAGCAAGTGGAACTCTCCCCTCTCCCTTACCCCCGTGAGCGAGTGCGGAACTGGTGTACCAACCGGCATCTGCCCTTCCTAAGGATGACACCTTCACCGAGGCCCTAGGCGGCCACAGGAATACATCTGCCTCAGAAAACCTTGGTCTCTTGGTGTGGTAACTGTCCGTACAGCTAGGCCTTCCTGCTGCACGGGGAAGGGAGTGTGAGCACCTGGGATACTAGGGGATCCTGCTGCTGCAGCTGTCCTAAATACAGGCTCATCTCTCTTAAAAAACTCTTGCTTTATCTCTGCCCAAGGCTGCTCCTCAGAGACAGACTTCAGATCTACCGCTGTACCAGCCTGCTCAGGCGTTCTCGGGGTGGGATCAGCCGGGCACGGTACTCACCATACTGTCTAAATCAGAGCCCACTATCCGGGACATCTCATCAAACTCCTCCGGAGACATGGGAAGCAGGTTGTCCGTGGTCTGAAGTCTAGAGGGGTGGCTAAAGAGAGAGAGGAGAAAGGGCAGTGTTAACCGCGAGCGACACGGGCAGCAATGCACCAAGACTTTTTTAGCCGCCATTTCGTATTTTGATTTCAGAAGAGTGTACACCTTATAAGTAAATCATGTCGGGAAGACTGCAGATCATGGGAGGTTTATGTCCCCAGCCCGGCCCCGGGGGGATACACTAGACTTTAGACACGAGTGAGCGATTGTCAAGACTGAAGCCTACACCCCTGCTGCCTGGTGGGGCCTCGGTGTGAGTGTGTGCGGCGTCATCCTGAGACGGCAGACTTCTGAGGCTTACCCTGGACAGAAAAGCACCAGAGAAAATGTCTGGGGGAATCCCTCATCCCTACCTTGAGGGTTGTATGCAGATAAGGCTGCTCCACAGAGTGTTTTTACATGAAGACTACATCCATTCACCCCAAGACAGTGCCGCAAGCCAAATAACTGACAATGACTTTTCCAAAACTTTCTACCTTTTATGGAATGAAACAACAAAATAAAAGCAAGTGGAGGAAATGGATCTCGGTTATGACTCTGGCCTTTGTTTATTTTATTCATACTTTTCCAAAGTATCAGTCTGGGGAGAACGTATATTCCTTCCATACAACTTCGCTTTATTTTTATTTTGTTTATTGCTGTTTTGCTTGGGGGTTTTGCTGCTGTTTATCGTAAGGCAGTAAAATGCTGGCAAAGCAGTCACACCGGGGCTAGTCAGGATCTTTCCAAAAAGTCCAACTGTAATGGCAGCATCTACTACAGCAGAAAAGCAAGCTACGAGCCAACGCCATCAAAGGGCGCCAGCCAGGAGCCAGGAGCCAGGCTGGCGCGAGGCTCTGACAATGTCAGTCTTCCGAGCTCACTTACACTTCAGACACCGAAATCAACTCGGTCTTGATGTAGCCCGTTCGCTTAGGGTCGTCAAGCTCCATTGGTTCTGGGGCTGGAAGCAAGCACATCACGGCGTTTGCATTAGCAGAAATCACACGGGATTCACATTAGCAGAAATTACACGGGAATGGGACCGTCCGCTTTGAGGGACCCATTCTGTCTGACTTGACAACTTCGTGTCCTGAAACTTTACGGGGGTCATGACCTTCCTGCCAAGGTCATCTGAGATCTCCATTCCCAAAGTGGGAATGGAGAAACAGCCAAACAGCCAAGAGAAGGCCAGAAGTCTAGCCGCTTGCCTCTTCCCAAAGCTAGTAATCTTGCACGAAGGCAAATGAAGCCCATGCATGCCAAGGTCAGGCTATGCACAGCCGTGGGGTAGGCTAAAGGGATTTCCGCCCCAGAGTCAAGATACTGCTAGTTAGGGGCTGGAGAGATGGCTCAGTGGTTAAGAGCATTGCTTGCTCTTCCAAAGTTCCTGAGTTCAATTCCCGGCAACCACATGGTGGCTCACAACCATCTGTAATGAGGTCTAGTGCCCTCTTCTGGTCTGCAGACATACACACAGAATATTGTATACATAATAAATAAATATTAAAAAAAAAGATACTGCTAGTTAGACTTCAGATTTCAAAAAGCTATTAGCTTTATTGGCATGCTCCAAAACTGAGCGGGTCTAAGATGAATTTTCCCGAATGTGATCCCATGACCAGAGAGGCAGACTTGCAGCCAAGAAGTTCTCCTGCTCTCAAGACTCACAATCACAGGCTCGAAGAAGCAACTGAGCCCACCCGAATGGGCCACTCATTGATCCTGAACCTGGGTTTCCGCCACTTGAACCCAAGCAGGCTAGAAGAAATGAGTCAGCCTTGGTTCCTACCCTCTACCCTTTCACGTGGAGAAATCAATCACAAACATATAAAACCAGGCATGGTCTTTCCCAATATCCTCAAGAGCAGAAACATGTATTCATCGCATACAAGCCACAGCAGGCCAAGCGATATTCCACTTCAACTTTACTGAGTGTATGGTGTTGTCTAAAATAACCCAACCCCATCAATTCAGAAGCGACAGACTGGTAACATCAGCAGCACGGGCTGGCATCTGTGCCATCATGAGCCATTGGTAGGACGGTGAGGACCGATGTGTTTGGAACTTGTTTGGGAGCAACCGAGCCCCACAGACCTCGTGGTGGGGCACCACAGCGGGCTGCACACTCACCTTCCTTTGGCCTGGAGTAGTACTTCCCAAAGGCATGGTCTTTGTCAATGTTGGGGTACAGGTACTTCAGGGGATTCTCTGGGATATTCTCAGCAGCCATCACTTTGTAATTGCGGATAATGTCGGGGAAAGTAACAGCTGAAAGCTCCTTCTTCGTGTAGGGTTCAACGGCGTGGAAGTCGGGTTCTAGGAGGAGGAAATCACGGAGGCTGACTGAGTACCAAACATCTCAGGGAAGACTAAAGTTCTGCAGACAGAATCTGGTGAGAAGCAGCTGCGGCCCGTGAGGTCTGTCCACCCGGGGCCTCTGGGTTCTACAGGCATGATAATCCTGTCTTCGGAGGAAAAGCAAGCGCTCGCTGCCTTTGACTGTTCATGAACAACACACTTGCTGCTCTCTGGTCAGAGTCTAATTCTAGCTCAAAGCTTGCATCCTTAACAAAGCAATGCACATCCACAGATACCACTGCCCGGGTCACTGGCCTCAGGCTGCAAATCGTGTTATTAAAGATGGGCCCCCTTCCTACTTTCCTTTCATAGTGGAAAAAACCCTGTTTTATTAAAACAAGCAACTCTCAAAACAAAACCAGGATGCTGCAAGCTACTTCTTCCCTGTAGTACCCCAGGGCATAAGCTGTGTTTCAGGTCTCCATGTCGGAGCCCAGGACACCTACAAGCGTGCCCTGTTGCTCTAAGCTGGGACTCTCTCTCGGGTTTCTGACAATCCTGTAGCCCACGCTGCCCTGCACCTCTCCTAGCCCCATCTCTCAATGGGCTTGGGAAATGAACTACCAGGAAAAAACAAAACGGGGCAGACCTCAGCGCCCACTACCGGCACTGGGCCTGATTCCAGGTCTCTGGCTGTTTTCATCAGAAAAAGAAAAAGAAAAAAAAAAAAGTAGACTCAGAAGAGTATTCCTTCTTTCTGACTCTATCCCCTGAAAACAAGAAGTCCTAGGCTAACCCCTCCAGCGGCAAATCATAAGCAACCATCTGTTTGTTAGTGTTCATTTTCCTACTTCCCACCTGCCCCGTCTTATCACAAGAAAGCTGCTTCTCGGAGCTTTTGAGCCGTTTGTTTAAACAGGTATCTAACGGGCCGAGATGTTCTGTCCCTCCCCTGAAGGTGGGCGGAGCTGCACCTCATCCCCCCCCTCCCCCCCCCACAGCCCCGGTAACTGGGTGGACTAAGCGCACAAAGTCGGTCCTCGCCCAGGCAAGGTATCCCGGGGCGGGCTGCGTCTGAAATCCTACACTGTGGGAAATGTGACCCCTTCCAACAACTGGGTGCAGATAGTGTTGACTCATATCCTTGATCTGCAGGCAACAGACCCGAGAGAAAGGTAAAACTTGGCCTTGGGCTTTGAAAGGCATCATTCTCACGTGTCCCGGGCAGCCTGACACCGGTGTTCCCGGTGGTGTAAGGCTCTCGTGGGGAGCTTACTTATGTAATTACAGGATACGCAATTTCAGTTCCAAAGCTACCCAGACCGATCGCCCTGCAGGGATGCATGCAGGGCCCTAGGCCTGCGCGTGCGCAGACCCGCTTCACTCACCCCCTCCGTTCTGCGACCGCTCCACCCACGTGAACGTGATGGCGCCTTCCCGGGAGCTCTCACTGAACCTAAGCAGGAACGTCCCCGGCTGCTGGTCCTTGAGCAGAGCGCGTTCTCGCTCCTTGCTGATAAAACCCATGATGCACCTGGACATTAGAGAGATTAATGGGAATATTTTGTGTTTCATCCATGAATTTAACTTTCATTTTGGCTTTCAATCTGAGAAAAGTGCTGCCACTTGAAAACAGAACGTATTATAAAAATGCATACTTTCAAAATGTTTAACTGAGGCTTACGGAAGCCGCTCCCTTACACACGGATGTGCTCAAGTAAGAACCAAGACGAACGCGTCATTGGCATGAAGCTCTGGAAATAAGTGAGGGGCCTTCTATCTGTCCTCGCTGATTTTAAACACCGTGAAAATGACTGTGTAGGCATCTCGTACTGGAGATGCGGGCTCCGAGGGTGAATTCCATAGGCCAGTCAGCACTTCCTGTTCACTGAAAGCTAGGGCTGAGATAGCAGTTGATCCCGGGGACAAATGAGTTAACCCCTTTTCTTTTATTATTTTGAAGACAGAATCTCGCTGGGTCGCCTTGGCTGGCCTACAAGCTTGCTGTGCGCAGAGATCAGCCCGCCTCTGCCTCCAGAGTGCTGAGGTTAAAGGCATGCACTACCCTTCCTGGAGGGCTTTGCTTCTTTACTAGGGCGGTTCGGTAAATACTGACAATTTCTGGACGAATGGATGGACACATTAATGGCACTCGGAGGCTTTTGTGTTTAATTTAGCTCTTAAAATATTTATACATAATGTCAAATTGGGAGCGCAGGCCCCTGCCCCTCGCATCTCTCCCAGCCCCCCAGGCCTGGTCTGGACTCCAAATCCCAGCAGGCCAGGTCCTGACCCCTCCCTGGGGGTGGGATCAGGACCACTCCTCAAGGTATTTAAGTGATCCCCAAAAGAGGAACACGTGGTCTCCCTTTCTTCCTCCAGGGGCTCGCGCTTCCTTGGCTTCCCGGTTCCCCCTCCAGGCCACCCGAGAGCGCAGCTCTCCCATTAAACCTGGATATTTCTTAATTTGGCTTGTTTTGATTTGGCTTGATTGGGATTTTTGCATCGGCAGGGAGCTCTCAATAGGAAATGTTCCTAACACATATATCCTAAAGTATGCTTGATCTTATGAGGGTCTCCCCTGACAAAGCTCTGAGGCTATGTAAGCGTGCACGTCTGTGCCCAGCTGAGACCTTGTCTCAGCCGGAAGCGTACATGCTAAAAAACGTTTCCACGTTCGGCCCTCGGTGACCCTTACCCGTCGTTCCAGAGGCAGAGCAGGTGCTTCTTAATGAGTTCCAGGATGGTGTCGATCCAAGGCCAGAAGGAAAAATTTTTATCGTTAATATTTTCCTGCAAGTACAGAAGCGCACAGTTGGTTAAATAAAAGCAGTGGCTTGCCCTGCCCCTTCCAAAGAGGCCCCAGCTCAGGCACTAGCGACAGCTGTCCCTTAGCAGGAGATGCCTAGGTCCCTTGCCTCTGACTGACTAACTGGCGCCCTTCCTTTCGCTGGTACCCTTGCCCAACTGCAGCACCCCAGCAGGGATGCTCTCCCAGATGACTGGAGTCGGGGCGCGGTGTGAGCAAGCGGCTCAGCGCCAGCTGGCCGGGCCCGACCGGGTGTCAACATCCTGTTCTAGTGCCCTCAGCGTGAGCAGTTCTGCACGGGTCACTGCACACATTTCACACGGCCTTAGCCAGGACCCTGCTGATTAAGGGGCCCGCCGTGAGGGAGTGGAGACGCTTTGGGGTGTGGAAGAATGTTATCGCCCAAGCAGGTGCTTCCTGGCGGGCTTGGCTTGGAACAACCTCCTGAACCGGAGGAAAGTAAACAACCGGGCCTAGGGGGTGTGAGGGGGGCAGAGGAACATGCCAGAAGAAGCAAACAGCGAGCTGCCACCGCGAGAAATTGGAAAGCCACCCCGGAGTGGAAAGAAGCCAGTAAAACCCACGCAGCACCTACCTTACAGAACCTCGTCCACGGAATAAGACCCTCAGGGCTCACATTAGGACCTAAGGGGAAAGTAACCCTTTTGTTAGACTGAAATTGATCCAACACTCTAGTCAGATGGACGGCTTTTGTTATATAGCTGCTCAAGATGGAAGAACTTAACGCAAAGGGGTGGCTGGCTCTCTGGTCCGGCAACCGGAAATGGGTCGGCCGCCACGCAGACCGAATGGACACCATCACGTTGTCGAAACCCTACGAGTGGCGGCTCCATTTCACTTCTTTATTTTGCAAGACAGGCTCTCCCGGTGTAGCCAGCCTGGCCTCAAACTCATCACTCCTCCCTTGGCCCTGCCTCCCTCCCCCAGCACAGAGATTACAGATGTGCGCCAGCCAGCACGCCTGCCTGTTGCCTTGGTTCTCCTGGCAGGAAGGAACGGTGGGGATTACTGGGCTTCTGAGTATGGAAATACAGCAGAGGAGGCTGAAGCATCACAAAGCCATCTGCTGCCTCTTAGGTCTCCCTTCCAAGGCGATGCCACTCTGGCATCTGTCTCCGCAAGGATCTCTGGAGAAGCCCTCCCTCCCACCCCCACCCAGCATGATTTCCCTCTTGCTCCCCTAACTGCATACACGAAGTCTCACCCCACCAAAAGCCCTACAGATGAACCGAACAGTTCAAAGTAAGACCAAGATCGCCCCGTGATCCTCTGAACTAGTACTTGGCTTCGTAAGCTCACTTTATTTTTTTTTAATATTTATTTATTTATTATGTATGCAATAGTCTGCCTGCAGGCCAGAAGATCTCATTTCAAATGGTTGTGAGCCACCATGTGGTTGCTGGGAATTGAACTCAGGACCTTTGGAAGAGCAGGCAATGCTCTTAACCGCTGAGCCATCTCTCCAGCCCCCATAAGCTCACTTTAGACTTTAGAGTTCTGTTGTTTCCCACCGCCTTCTCGGTTGGGACAGCGGCTCAGACCGATGCAAGCCACAGTCAGGCTTAGCCATAGAAACTAAAACAGCCCGGTCTGCCCTATGTTACATCCACTGCCTTCATTGAAAGTAAACCACAGAGAAGCAACAAGCGGGTGGGGGGGGGGGAATATCCTTGCATCGCATCAAATGCAGATACAGAGCAAGGCCTTAGACCTTCCTTAATGTGCACGTTGGGGAGGGTTGGGGAGGAGGAGCTGCTGAGGGTCCCCCGGCTGAGAAGGGCCCGCTTCCGCTTCCGCTGCAGTCTGTGGCACCCTGCTACTCAGACAGGAAATCTGGACCACGGAGTCAATGGAATCTTAAAGACGCGGTTCAGATACTCCCGTTCATTGGAAGGTCTGTCGGTGACGACTGGGTCTTTCATTCATCAGCCACTAAGAGAGAATCACCTATCCTGGTCTTGCCTGACGGGCAGAACTGGCCCTGCCTCCTGCAACATGGGCCCGCCTGGCCCGAGAGTCTGGGGCTTTTAAGCCGAGAACTTTATTCTGTGTCAGGGACTTTCCTTGCTTACTCCCTAAGGACAGGTTTGAGCTTGTCTGCCTCATCAATCACTCATTTCAGGCTCATGTGACATAGTTTACAATCTGAAGACTGACCCTGAAATTCCGTCCCAGAAATGTTAAGGGACTGGTGGTGTGTGGGATGCACGGAGGTGGTGTAGGGTGCGTGGGGGTGGGGTGCGTGGTGGTGTGCGTGAGGGTGGGGTGGTGGGGATGGTGTGGGGTGTGGGGGGGTGGAGGGGTGTGCATAGGGGTAGTGTGGTGTGGGGGTGTGAGGGTGGTGTGTATGGGGGGATGGTGTGGGGTGCGTGGGGGTGTGGTGTATGTGGGGTGTGTGTGCGTGGGGGGTGATGTGAGGTGTGTGTGGGTGCTGTGGGGTACATGGGGGTGGTATGGGGGTGTGTGGGGGTGAGGGGTTTTACTGCTCCCTTGCCAAGACTTAGCTTTGCTTCAAAGCATTACTCTCACTTGGCTACAGTTGGCTGTAATTAAAAAGCCAACTGATTTTTAACATTCTTCTACCTTTAAGAAACAGAATAGTCGGGTAGCGGGGGCACACGCCTTTAATCCCAGCACTCAGGAGGCAGAGACAGGGGGATATCTATGAGTTCAAGGCCAGCCTGGTCTACAGAGCCAGTTCCAAGACAGCCTCCAGAGCTACAGAGAAACCCTGTCCAAAAACCAAAATAAAAAAGAAAGGAAGAAAGAAAGAAAGAAAGAAAGAAAGAATAAAGACAGATGGAAAGCAAAAGCTGCCGCGTGTGGGCGTTCACCATACCCAGAAGCTTCTCTCCCAGCATGCTCAGCTGGTCGGCGTTGAGACCTCTCTTGGTGACGGATGAAAATTGCCAGCTCAGCACCTCGGAGAGCTGGGACCAGCGCGCGCACGGTGGGTTCAGGAAGAAGGAGAGGTTCTAGAAAGAAACACCCAGAAGCTGGGGGTCACAGGGGAGTCACTGGCCACCAGCACAGGCCCCAGAGCTCAGTGCTTATGTGTCACACGGGCTTCTAGCTGGGGATGGGAAGTCTCAGGGTTAGCACAGTTAGAATCTATTTCCTCACTAACATTTACTTTTAACTACAAAACTGGTACTTGAGGCAACGTGGTGGCCACACATTGATGTTTCCAAGTGAGATGGAACAGAATGACATCCTGGCTTGTTATTGCCGCTCGCAGCTGTTTGGACCTCTCCGGGTTTTGAACTTTTGTGGTTTTTGTAGGTGGCTTCATTGTTCAAATGGTACCAAGCATTGCGCTTATGTAGGAGGATGTGCCTAAGCACAAGAAAGCCAGGGGTCCGTTACGGAGAGGATATGTGTGTTAGAAAAGCGCCACACAGGCATGGCTTCAGTGGCACTGGGCTACATAGGCTTGGAAAGAAGTCGTCAAGTCTATTACATAAGGTGCCTTTCCAAAGACGGGCATTTCAGCTCTGTGTCGGTGGGCTGACGGAAATGCTGGGTCTAGAGGCTGATGAAGCTGACCTCTGTAAATCCCCAGGAAGCAATGACTCCGTATTTAACAAGAGCTCCAGGCTACTTTAGAGAGCATGAGTATTTCTCCTACCGAGAATCAACAACCAATCGGCAGTCCCTTCGCCCTCTAAGAACAAATGCGGACATTTTACAACAAACGACACCAAGAGACTCACGCGACGACCAGAGAAATCAGCTCACCGGCTGCCTGCGTTCATGCGCACGGGAGGGAAATCACCGGCCAGCATGTGTTGCCTGCCTGAGTACTTTCTCAGTCCCTCGGGGCCTTAGTAATGCCATGGGGGGTCACAGGGAGCAGCCGGCAGGCAGCTCAGTTTTGGGTGACTGAACGAAAGCAAGTATGTTTTCCGTACCCTGGGTTCCGTCACCAGCATGTTGTACCACAGTATGGAAGCCCAGCCGCTGGGGAGCTGGCTGACGTTGGAGATCACCACGACAGGCAGAGAGGTGGTCTGGAAGGGAACAGAGACCTTGAGAGCATTTGACTCACAGGCAAACACTCAACAGCACCCATCTCAATCAGAACATCTCTTTTACGAAACTTGAAGGTTCATTCAAGCCTCCAGCTTCCCGAATCACGAATGTCAACCTAGTATTAGCTGGAAGAGATCACCCTGGAGACAAGAGAGCTGTCTCGGCAGTTAAGGGCACTGGTCGCTCTTCCAGAGGACCGAGGTTTGATTCCCACCCCCACATGGTCGCTCACAAATGTCTATAACTTGGGTCCCCGGGGATCTGATGCCCTCTTCTGGCCTCTGCAGGCACCAGACATACATGGGGTATATAGACATACATGCAGATAAAACATCCATACACATAAATTTTTAAAAACAATAACTCTTTAAAGGGATCACCCATGTTTTAGCAGTTAGGTAAGTTAATTGTGAAATAAAAAGCTTGTGGAAGTAAAAATCAAACGTGTTCTCCCTTGGGAAACCTTAACTCTTACCTCAAGGTCAATCACCAAGCCTGGCTGGCACAGCTGGGTCTCAAAGCTAAGGGAGTGGAGTTCTTCCGTGACAATGAGAGGCCCCTAGGAAGAAGCAAAGAAGACAGCTTGATCACTGACCCTGCCACCCTCAGACCCCAGACAGGTCGCAGAGATCCTAAACTCAACCGTGGTCCAGAAGACTTCAGAATGCAACAATCTACCCCAGAGTTTAAAGTTCCGAGCTCCTAGGTGTTCCCTCAAAGGTGTTTGTAATGACGGCAAATCTATTTAGAGAGAGGAACATCAGTGGGAAGGCACTACAAATGGGTTTAGCCTCTTGACCTCCAACCATCTGCCTGCCCGTGTGTACTGCACAGCTCACGCGGTGGTGGAGGCGAAGGCAGAGAGCACATGTCTCTCAAAGTGAGAGCCTCTACAGAAAGGACTAACTTGGCGGTCATAAACGCACTGGGTGGGTAGAGAGGGATAGCTTCCAAAGTGCCTTGGAATCACAGAGGGAGCTGCGAGACCTAGGAGGTGACAGAGACAGCTAAGGAAGCTGACCAGAAGGTGTCTGTGCGGCACAAACCAACATTTGCTTCATTGCTTCAGTGACCTCTACTGGTCGTGATGTGGAATGACAGCATATGGTGTGTGCACCAAGGGCAAGTCCAAACCCAACCAGACACAGGCATTGCGTCTATCCATCCCTCATTTCTCCTTTCTTTTCCTTTTCTTTTCTTTCCTTTGCTTTTTTTTTTTTTGGAGACAGAGTTTCTTTCTGTGTAGCCACGGCTGTCCTGGATCTCCCTTCATAGACCAGGCTGGCCTCCAACTCACAGAGATCCATTTGTCTCTGCCTCCTGAACGCTGGGATTAAAGGCGCGCGTCTCTATGTCCAACCATCTCTCAGTTTGCAATCGCCACAAGCATAACTCCTAAGGCTCAGGCTATAGAAGGATCTCTGAGAAGGCGATGGTTCCGTGTAGGAGACACGGTGGCAGGGAACCCTCGCAACACCGGGTCTTCGGTATCAGCCACTGTGCTGGACGGTTTCATGTCAACCCGGCACAAGTGACAGACACTGAGAGGGGGGGCCCTCACTTGAGAAAATTCCTCCATAAGATCTGGTTGTAGAGCATTTTCCTGATTAATGATTGGGCAGGGGGAAGCCCATGGCACGTGCCATCCCTGGGCTGGTGGTCCTGGGTGCTGTAAGAAAGCAAACTGAGCAAGCCATGAGGAGCAGGCCAGTAAGCATGGCCTCTACATCAGCGCCTGCCTCCAGGTTCCTGCTCTGTTTGAGTTCCTGTCCTAGCTTCCTCCAGTGATGGACTGCAGCGTGGATGGGTAAGCCAAATAAACCCTTTCCTCCCCAACCTGCTTTTTGTCCCTGGTGTTTCATCATGTATGAAACATGTCTCATCATAGTAACCATGACTAAGATAGTCACTTTCTGTCTCTTGCGGCCGCTTTTCCGTGTATTCTTAGCTAGATCACGCTACCTTCTGGGTCTCCGTTCCTTCACCCAGATAAGAACAATACAAAAGCCCACCATGCCCCATCCGGTTAGCTGTCTCTGTGGGTCCGATGAGACTGTGGGTTACGCTGCCTTCTACCCAAAAAAACGTACAAAGGCAGGAGGGCATTTTCACGGACACCCCAGTGCTCTTCCCGGTCAGGTCTAAGGACCTCTGTGATGTGTCCTCTCCAAACACATCAGTCTGGTTAGGAACCCCTCACAGTCCAGAGATGCTCACCTCGTTAGTTCTGTTGCCAGCATTTTTCTGTTCTTTCAGTTGCTATAAAAGAAGAGACCAAATGGTTAACTTACACGAACGGCTAACCAAAACAGTCAATATCTTCATTCACAAATCAGGCCCGTCAGGACCAGGATGACATGTGACCCTATCGGCTGAACAGGAAGGAAAGTGACTTCCCCAGCAGCCTACTGGGCTGTGGGCACACTGATGGGGATGAAGCCCCTGAACTATGGCGCGTCCGTGTGCAATGGTACCTCAGCGCCGTCAGCAGCTCTTTCATGGTCCCAGACTCACAAAGCAGCTTCATGGCTGTCTCAACAGTCTCCCAGGCGAGGCTCGGCACCCCAGGTCTCCCAGACTGGGCTCGGCACCCCAGGTCTCCCAGGCTAGGCTCGGCGCCCCAGGTCTCCCAGGCTAGGCTCGGCGCCCCAGGCCAACATAGTCTCCCAGATCACACTTCAGTCTCTGAAGTCGAAAGGGCTGTTCTGGATACTCTCGGATGTCCAAGCTGGGCAGAGGCTCTTGCCTCACATGTAACTCCCTAGCCAAGAGGTCTGTGGCTCACAAGCTGGGACCCAGTGAAAAGGCGCCACACCAGTGGACAGGGGTCCTCCTCTTGCTACCGTGGTAATCAAGCTGCTACACACTTGGAAGGTGGGAGCGGTGAGGATGGATCGTGGGAATGGCTTTCTTGAGAGCACTGTGGGAGCCATAGCGACTGCTCACATGCGGAGAGAGCAAGTGCTTACATAATTAATGCGCATGACAGTTGATGACATACTTTACTGAGATCAGTACAGCCCCAAGAGTGTTTGTGGAGAAAGCATGTCAAAACAAACAAACCAACAAACAAACAAACAGCGAGGAGACAGGGACATGAAGAAGAGACCAGGATGCTGTGGTAGGGTGAGTCTAGGGGCCACTACACTATGATAGTTCCAAAGGACCAGCGGCAGCTTTCTGCCAGCAAACTGCTCTGCCTACCAGGTGCCGGAACTCCGCAGCCAGACTTCCGTTGGTGGACTCTTCCATGTTCATCACTTTCGTGTGCGTGCCCAGGATGTTGAACTTCCGAAATCTGTACAGCGCAAGACACAGAGCCTTAAAATGCTTCGAACCCGTAGACAGACAAGAGAGCAAAGTACAAGGAAGGCCGTCTCACCTACCCTTTGACTGTTTTCTTCTCGTTCACGTCTCTGCAAAAAAAAAAAAAAAAACAAACACACATACAGTTGAAATGCGTTTTAATAGATGCGGACGGCTACACAGATGTATAAATGAAAGATAAAAGCTGGCTGCACAGGCTGCAGGGGCTGTGGTTACTTCCTAGCCCGCTGCCCTCCTGCAGTTCACTCAGTAAATATGTCTTCTTCTGGTGTGGGAGGTCCTTCTCTCTATGTGTTGCTTTTATTGGCTAATGAATAAAGAAACTGCCTTGGCCTGATAGGGTAGAACTTGGGTAGGCAGGGAAGACTAAACTGAATGCTGGGAGAAAGAAGGGCGGAGTCAAGGAGAAGCCATGGAGCCGCTGGAGATGGACTCTGGGAACTTTAGCTGGTAAGCCACAGCCACGTGGCGATACACAGATTGATAGAAATGGGTTAAATTAAGATGTAAGAGCTAGGCAATAAGAGGTTAGAGCTAATGGGCCAAGCAGTGATTTAATTAATACAGTTTCTGTGTGGTTATTTCAGGTCTAAGCTAGCTGGGCAGCAGGGAACCAACAAGCTCCGCCCACCAGCATTCTTCCTCTAAACCAGGTAAGAAGAGGGAAGGAGGATAAGAGAAGATGATGGGAAGACTAGGGAACCAAAGCTATGGGCAGGGGTGGTGGCAGGCAGCCCACGCTGGAGAGCGCAACTGACCTCAAAAGAATACCAAATACATAGAAAGCAACAAAATAATAAATATTCTGTGCTGGCAGGCCGCCTGTCCTTCTGGTTGCTCATTCCCTTCCCACTCCTGTCAGCGAGGCCAAGGGACACCGAATGGCTGTAGTCTGTTGCCAGTCCTAAACCACCGCACCGAAACAGGTGTGTGTCAGTAAACCACTGTGCACCGTGCACCCTGTGTGTCAGTAAACCACTGTGCACCGTGCACCCTGTGTGTCAGTAAACCACTGTGCACTGTGCACCCCTGTGTGTCAGTAAACCACTGTGCATAGAGAGCCACCTGCCACTGCTCCCGAGTGCTGGGATTAAAGGCGTGTGCCACCACTGCCCAGCTATAAAATTCATTTCTTTATAAAGTACTCGGTTCAAGTATTTTGTTATAGCAACACAAAATGGACTAAGATAGTCATGTTCTCACCAAACAGTCTAGATCAGTAATATGTGTATGTGCAGCTCACTCACGAAGGTTCACCACTCTGTCTCAACCAGAGGTAGAAAGGATTGTTAGGACTAAAATGTCCACAAAAGGAACCTATTCCCGCCTCTGTGGAGAAGATTCTTTGTCACACAGAGCTGCCATGTGAGGTTTCAGAAGAAAAAAGCAGAGCTGGAATAAACAGAAAAGACAAGGGACACACGAGGAAGAGAATTGAGCTCCAGCGGAGTGTGCGACGGGCTTCAGGAAGTAGCCCAGCACCTCAGGGTGCTTGGACCCCTGGACCAACTTCTAGCAATACCACGGAAGGCTGTGGTACAGTGCGCATCCCACGAGAACCTCTGCAGGTCTGGATGCTTGCAGCCATGTAGAAAAGTCAGATCATGAAGATGAACCCAGTAATTCCAGCAGGGAGGCCATGCCAGAAATGTGAGCAATAGAATGCTTGGAGGTTTCAAGTCAACAAATTTTGGGGATGTTTTGCTACCAAAGACAACGACAGGGAAGGCACAGACACAGAGCCATGAAGAATACTCGTAACAGGGTGGGGAGAGACAGAAAGCCAGAGGAGGCTGGCTCTGAATCATGACAAATCCTTCTGAGATGAGCTGAGTCAGCACATGACACAGTCTGACAAGAAGAGTAGGTGTCTGGGGTGGAGAGAGTGTTTCTCCAGTGTAAGTGGTGTGGCTAGGTCAGTGCTAAACGAGATGCAGGGCCCGAGGGGACACAGGACGGGGCTCCTTCATTTGGACTGCCACCGCAAGAGATCCTGCCCACGGCTGGGTATCCAGCACGGCCTAGAAACACTAATAAGTACAGCAGGCTCCACAGTACCACCTGGCCCAGCCCAGTATCTCACGTCACCCAGAAACCACCGCCCAGCTGGCTGCAGACCACAGCCTGGACCTCGGGTGTGTGCTGGACTAAGGGCCTCCTCTCCAGGGCTGAGATGTGCAAAGTCCACCAGCTATAGACCTGCTGGTGGCAATCTCCTCTCCACTGTTCTTTTGTTTACTCTAGGCTAGGAAGCACCTGCTCCAGGCACCGCTCTGAGCCCTCAGGAAAGCAGCCAGCTAGGATGCCCTGATGGGCCTGCGGCAGCTCAGCAGCCATCTTTCCCCTCCAGCCAGGCTCAGGACCTGTAGTCCAGCCCTAGGTCCCGGGAAGAGTTTCCAATTGGCTTACTGGATGGAGAGGTTAATAAAACCAACATTTTAAAGTGTATCTTAGATGAGATTAAAGAAATCTTACTTATCAAATGAGACTTTCACTTTCAAGTTGTAATTCAGCTCTTGCAATTTCACCAACAATCTGGAAAGAAAAACAACAGTCATTACCTTAAAAAAAAAAACAAAACCTGTTGACTAAAATTTATTTCTTATGTAAATTCCCCAACTATAAACATTTGTACAGACTGCTCTCTTCACTTTTAGGTTAGGGTCATTACAATGAACTGGGACAAAATTCTAACGCTAATGGAACACAGCGCTGACTTTACATTCTAACCAAAGTTACTGAAAGCAACGCTTTTGTACAGAACCCCGCCAACACAGTCTAACCAAAAGTCCTGCTCTTGACCAATTACTATATGGGCAAAAAGGTGAATACAACTCTTTACAAAACTTGTATTTAATTTCCTGTGCTAGCGAGAGAAAATATAAAGCACCGCCAAGAAATAAAATTGCAACTACTACCTAGTCAGAAAAAAAAGAAGCATGGCACCCATCACTGGCCGTGTAGAAAGAGAGAGTGGACTAAGACCCTGTGAGCCTCTGCTCTGATAGCTAGACAGCACGCCAGCAGGGGAGTAGGGGGATGAGATGAACTTGCAGCCTCTAATCAGGAGCAGGTGACAGGGGTTTCTTCTTTCCTATCGGTTGTGAGTTCTAGGTTTCTCCGGCGCTTAACTGTGCTGCTGCAACACTGCCTGCCGGAGAAACAGCGCCCGTGCAGCCACAGGTGCCCCTGGAGGAGACGAGCCCCATGCTGCAGCTCCCAGCTGCTCAACCCCAGGGCAACACTTGCTGAATGCAGCCCACTCCCCAGAATACGCCAAAGCATACACAGAACATCTCTCCGACTCCAGCATGGAGAGAATCAGGCTACATACAAATATAACCCTGGTTTTAGCCATTGAAATTGTTAAAACTTACGTACATGGGTCTACACGTGAAACATGCACGCACGCCGTTTTATATTTATGGCAAGATTATGGGAGGATAGACACAGGGTGTTCATTGCAGCTGTGCACGGATATTTAGATCACAGGCCGCCGGTCCAGCCTGGTGAAAGCATTCACTCACAGGACAACTTAAATGCTATAGATCCCACCCCCACGCACTGTTGTGGTGTCTATGTGGGATTCACACAGCTCCATCATGAGCCTCTGCTCATCACGGGGAAGGCTGCTGGGAACTGTGTCTGTTATATACATTTCTGAAACTCTAAGTCCTCTTACCATGAAAATGTGAATTAGCAAAAAAAAAAAAAAACAAAAAAAAGCAGGCATGTGTGCATATATGGAACTATCCCTTCTTACCTCAACTTCACAGTGAACTGCACCCCGGTCTTCAATACCAGGGGCCTCTGGGGATGAGTCGGCATACATGGCTGTCGCTCCACCACGAAGGAGCTGTCAATGTCCAGGGAAGCAGATAAGTCAGAACTGCCATCAAACTTAACGCAGTAAAAAATAAACAGATGAATGATTTTTTTTCCCCAAAGAGGAAATAGATTTGTATTTAATTTCCTATGCTAGCAAGAGAAAATATAAAGCACCGCCAAGAAATGAAATTGCAACTACCACCCTAGTCAGAAAAAAGCAGGCTGGCACCCGATCACTGGCCATGTTGAAAGAGAGAGTGGAAAAATGGAAGGACTGGAAACATTGGAGCACTCGAAAATATTTTGAGAGTCTGACAAACTGGATAAAAAAAACCGAATGTCTGTTCTAAGTGTGGCGCAGCCTCCAGGTCACTGGGGATGGGGAAAGAGTGCCATGGAGGTGTAGCCTGAGGGACCCATGTGGCTAACAGGGAATGAAGGACCAAGGCAACAGCCTGGGTGAGTCTCAGAGCCTGGGTAGAAAGGCTGTGAAGGGCCCTGGGAGATGAGAAGACCGGATATGAAAGCCAGGCATAGGGGAGGCCACAGCACAGGGGAAAGGGACGGACATTCTGAGGTCAGACTTGTTGAGCCAGACAGACTGGCTGAGGGACAGAAGGATCAGGAGTAAAACTTACTACCCTTTCCCTAGGAAGCCAAAAGAAGGAAGAGGCCTCGGCAGAAGCCAGGAACCTTGTGCAGCCCATCAAACCCTTCCCAACCGATGGGCCTTCTGGAGGCAGCCCGTCCTCCGGCTTACCTCTGAATGAGCTGTTGGAAGAGGACAAAGGTGCGGTCTGACAGGACCTGCTTGTTTTTGGTGATGGGGTCCAGTTCATAGTTGAACTTCTGTTCCAGTTCCTCCAGCTTTTTTAGCTGCTGGCGAACCTGCTGCAGACTCTCGGCGACGATGGTGAACCTGGGGGAGGTGCGAGACGCGAGTCTCAGTTGTAGGGAGCTGCAGTCCCAGAGCAAGCAGCCTGGCCTGAAGAGACTCACAGAATCCATACTCAGGGAGAGATGGGGAGGTGGGGGCCTGCGGGAACCTTCAGCTCAGTTACTCGTAGAGTAAAAATTAGCATGCACTGAAGAACTGCAACATGGTTCTGAGAGCCAAAGGCCTGGAAGTTTTTGTCAACTTGACAGACTATCGCTTTTTCTTCTCCCCAGGAACCTCAATTAAAAAAGAGCCTCCATCAGACTGCCCTAGGCAAGCCTGCAGGCATTTTCTCAATTAGTGTCTAATGTGAGAGGACCCAGCCCACTGTGGGTGGTGCCAACCCTGGGCAGGTTACCCCGGGGTGAATAAGAAGCAGTCTGAGCAAGCCAAAGGGAGCAATCCAGTAAGCAGCACCCCTCTTTGGCTTCCGCTTCAGTTCCTGCTTTGAGTTCCTGCCCTGACTTCCCTTAGCTATGGAGCATGATCTGAGGGTGGTAAGCTGAAATAACCCTTTCCTTTCTAAGTTGCTTTAGTCATGGCTTTTTCCTCACAGCAATAGAAACCCTGACGAAGACAGCTATACATAGCAAGTCTACCGGGCAGAGCAGGGGCTCCAGGTAATCTCTGATGTCAGGGTAGCTAGGATTTCAGAATGGCCAAGCGTGGAGGACAGACAGCAGACCGGTTGAGCAGATGCCTCAGGGAACATTGCTTTAAGGATAGGCTGACGCTGCAAGGCCTCCTAGAGACACTATGAGGGGCTGGGCTTGGGGCAGCCTAGAAGAGGAGGAGGAAGAAAGAAGTGGCCCTGGTCACATCCGCTAACCTGACCAAGGAGGACACCAGTGGCTGCCCTGGGCACAGGTCACATCTGCTAACCTGACCAAGGAGGACACTAGTGGCTGCCCTGGGCCCTGGTCACATCCGCTAACCTGACCAAGGAGGACACTAGTGGCTGCCCTGGGCCCTGGTCACATCCGCTAACCTGACCAAGGAGGACACCAGTGGCTGCCCTGGGCCCTGGTCACATCTGCTAACCTGACCAAGGAGGACACTAGTGGCTGCCCTGGGCCCTGGTCACATCCTCTAACCTGACCAAGGAGGACACTAGTGGCTGCCCTGGGCCCTGGTCACATCCTCTAACCTGACCAAGGAGGATGCTAGTGACTGCTCTGGGTGTTTTCCTTCCTGACAGTCAACTGCTAATGGCATTCCACTTCTGAGGTAGGCACACAGAGTTCCACACTACTCAGAGAACCAGAGTAGAAAATCTTTGAGAAAACACCTGCCCCTCATGGAAAATACCGACTTCTCCTGGGGGGCTTTCCAACTCGAACCCACATCACCAGGGGGGCTCCTCATCGTGACGTGGGAAAGTGAGGGAGTGGCTGAGTGCTTTGCTATGGAGAATCTGCCAGGGTCTCCCAGAAGATCCCTTCCAATGGTGACGCACAGAGAAGATGGCAATCTACATACTGAGAGTCAGTGCCACGGAAAGAGGTTTTGTGAGCTATGGCAACCACCATGATCTCCAGATAGCCCAGGGCTGACCAGCTGAGGGTCTAGGAAAACAGCATCCTCAAGGTACAAGGGTCAAACAGGGTTGGGAAACTCTCCTCTACCCATGAGCAACTTAGGATATATATGGACAATGTACAGGATGAAGATAAATGGATGTATTTTAATTTTAACTTAAAAATACAGTTCAATTTCAGGGCTGGAGAGATGGCTCAGAAGCAAAGAGCCCTGACTGCTCTTTTCAGAGGACCTGAGTTCAATTCCCAGCAACCACATGGCAGCTCACAACCATCTGTAGTAAGATCTGGTGCCCTCTTCTGGCCTGTAGGCATACATGCCAGCAGCAACACAATGTATGCACAATAAATATATTAAAAAAAATACTTCAATCTCAATAACCCCACTAGCCCTCTGCCTTGGGGTGCCTGGTGACATCTTAGACCACCATCCCTTCGCTTCCATTCCAAGGTTCCTCTGCTCCATCCTCAGCAGTTCTCAGCGGCCCTTCCCTGGACCACGGCAACAGGCTAGCAGTGAACTGGCCAATGGGTTCTGCTTCTATTCTGCCCTCCAGCCTGCTGCCAGGGTGATCTTTCTAAACAAAGACGCAGAGAGAATGCGGACCCTGTGGGAGAGAAAAGCCTGCTTTGCTTTCAAGGGCCAGCATAGTAAGACCGGTTCAAGAAAGGGGCTGAGACCATTCTTCCGCGGTCAGTAGTAGCACCTGCTCCCCTGCCCGTGTCCCCTCTCCAGCCATCCAGCAGGTCATTTGCATACACACACTCCTGTGCCCCATCATGTGACTCTCTTTTTTTAATATTTATTTATTTATTATGCATACAATATTCTGTCTGTGTGTATGCCTGCAGGCCAGAAGAGTAAACCAGACCTCATTACGGATGGTTGTGAGCCACCATGTGGTTGCTGGGAATTGAACTCAGGACCTTTGGAAGAGCAGGCAATGCTCTTAACCTCTGAGCCATCTCTCCGGCCCCTCATGTGACTCTCTTGCTGGAAGGAATTCCTCCTCCTTTCCCCAATGTACCCTCCACTCTCGGCCAGTGCAAAACTCTGGATTGGAAAGCCCCAAACATCAATCTTCTTTGGGTGTCCCAGTCCCAGAATAGCGTTTCCCATCCAGCCACCATTTCACGGGTTATTTAGTGGATGCATGACTGAATGGTTGACCCATAAGAAACTATTATTTCATTTAGGCCTGGAAAATCCCTGAAGATATTCTGCTTTTAATAAGTAGCAGGCCTCCAGTTGGTAAATGGAGCAGGTAACGACTACGTCATTTGGCTCATGGTACAGCCAAGCAGATGTGGCTGAACATGGGGCCAGAGCTTTCCCCAAACGTTCCGGGGGAGGAAGCTGAACCACGCCCGAGTCTCCAGTGCAGTGTTGATGGGGTCCGTTCAGCTACGGGTCTAAAGGCGCTCTTCCCTAGTGTCTGGGGTCTGTCCAGCGGCTGCAACCCTGCAGCAAAGGCAAAGCTTACCAGCTCTGCAGCTGATCGAGGCAAGCATTGGGCGGTCCCCCGATACAGGCGCTCTGCTGTCTGCGTTTCCACTCCACCAGCTCATCGTTGATCAGGACGTTCTGCGTGAGCTCAATGGCATTCAGCAGCTCTCGAATTTTGTGAATTATCTCCTAAAGGAAAAGGAAGCCCCAAGGGGGGATGAATTCACCGGTAACTACTGAACTTAAGAAGATTTCTTTTTTGTTTGTTTTGGACAGTGAAAGATTGTGGGTCGTTCTGCAGGCTGGCGGGGGGGGGGGGGGGGGGACTGCTGACAGACGGTAACGGAACTACTTGCACTGGGCCGGGAATGGAACTCGGGTCCTTGGGCAGAGCGGTTGGGCGCTCTACTTCCTGAGCCGTCTCTCCGGCTGGAAGATTTTTTTTTTTTTAAAGCAAAGCAAGTCTCTCTTCATTCTCATCTGGAGCTCTCCCAGTGAAGTGGTTTATGGGTCTACTTTCTCCAGGCCAGTGGGCTGGCTCAGCAGGCCAAGCCCAAGCTTGGTTCCCGGGGCTCACACAGTGGGAGGAGGGGAGGGGCTCCTGTAAGTGATCTCCATCCACCCCCCAAACAAAGATGCAATTAAAGAATGAACTTTTGTCCCCCATTTAAACCAGAAGCAGCCGCTACCTTTCTCTTATTGTCCAGCATTAGGAACATCTTGTGAAGTAGCAGCTGTTCTTGCTTCTGATCATTCTTGGCCACGCCGTTGGCTTCACTTTCTGTCAAAGAAGGACGAGGAGGTAGGCATACATGTGCAAAAGATCAATCCAACCAAAGGAAGAGACACACGAGTTTATGTAAAATACGATAAAAAACGCGAAGTCTGACTCTAGTTTGAGGTTAATTGATAATTTGACAGAATCTAGAATCACCTGGGGGATAGGCTCCCAGCATGCCTGCGCCGGGGACAGATGCATGTGTTGGGGACAGGCTCCCGGCATGCCTGCAAGGGATTACAGTGACTGAAAACCCTACCCGGGCAGTGGGCAGGACTAGTCTCTGGGCAGGGACCCTGGACTATACAACAGGAAGAGGGGACCTAAGTGCAGCATCATTCTCTCTCTCTGCTTCCAGCTTGCAGCCGCTTCAAGCTGACGGGCCACCCCACTGTAATGAGCTGCACCGTGAGCTGAGGGCTAAAAGGAAACCCTTCTCCCTTAAGCTGCTTTCGCTGAGCCGTGGGGAAAGATACCCAGACGGTATTTACTGAAAAAAAAAAATGAGAAAAACGTCTCCGAAGTATATAAAGAGCTAGGTGCATCCTGCTTAAACTGAGTACCAGTTCTTGGCAACCCACGTGGACTGGAAAATTATAAATTCCCATGAAAAACTGGAAATCTACTACTTAAGTCATGGTCCAAGTTTTAGTGCAAAACTTTACCTAAGTGTACACAAAGCACGTCCGTGGCCTTCAAAAGTAGACGAACAAGAAAGCAGCAGCTGTGTCCCTTTGCTCCGCATCTTCCCCTCCCCCCCCCCCCCCGCACTAATAATCTATCCCTACCGATCAGAGGATTACCAGGGCGCCGTGCTCTGCAGCCTGACTTTTTGGGGTCATTTTAGTTTCTGTTACCATTTTAAAAGGCAACACTAAAACAGGTGACATTGCTATCACACGTGAGCAGCGTTGCGGAGTTAGGACACAGAAACGCCATTTGGGTACCATTCTACCTTTGCCAACAAAGACGGCGTTCACCTCCCTTAAAACGTCTGACCAAGGCTGGGGACAATTTTGATTGTCACGACTGGGTAGTACTATGAGCATCTGGTGAAGGAACCACAGACGCTGCTAAACACGACACAAGGCACGAGACCGTGCTGCAAAGAAAAATATCTGGCCCTTCGGCAGAACTGGGCACTTATGACACACTGGCCTGGGCCATCAAGGAGCCCAAGGAAGACAACCAATCAGAAAACATCTGGAAGCGTTCACTACTGTAGACAGAGAAAAAAATACAGAAAACATCTGGAAGCGTTCACTACTGTAGACAGGGGAAAATACAGAACACATCTGGCAAATGTTCACTACTGTAGACAGGGGAAAATACAGAACACATCTGGCAAATGTTCACTACTGTACACAGGGAAAATATAGCCAGTGAACGCTGTTTTAATTCTTACCTCTGTTCTGTGAGGTTTTGCACTTAAAGTCATATTCGTCCTGTAAATCTTCTAGGGTCTTGATTTCATGCTCTATGCACTGCAAATAAGGATATGAATAGGTTTTCTAACACTCTAAAAGGTGAGTCGGCCTTGTAGAGATCTAATCTTTTACACAAAATATTTCGATAATAAGAATGTAACGCTTCAGAGGGCGGAACAAGCCTGAGGCTTCCTCATGCTGAAGAACAAGTAAGGAGAGCTGAGCCCTGGTACACCCCTTACTGACAGAGCCATCAGATGAGAAAAGAAACAACCAGGAGGGTGGTTTTAGCACGGGACTTGCTGTCTGGAATGACATATTCTGAAATGCTGGAAAGTTGATCAGTACACATTATAACATGGACTCCTGTCTTCTGGTACAATGACTGTACATATTATAACTCAGCATCCTGTCCCCTCTGGTACACTGTCTGTACATATTATAACATAC